TATGAATACTGAAAATCCATAATACGACGAGTGTATTACAAGCACACAATCAATTGAAAGTAATATTTCCACTTTTTCGTTGATTGAAACTATACTCGTTGAAACAGTATGTATGTCATTCTCAAGAAAAATCGCAGCTTATACATACTACTCGTATATCGCTAGATGATCTACAGGATGTATCTTTTGATACGCGCCTGCAAAATTTGTGAATAAGGAAATTTCCATTCCTAGAAGAAATAGGTGTTGCAAGAAACATTTGATAAAGAATAGATTTTATGAAGATGATTTGGCTGCTACAAAAATAGTGACACATAAATCATTAATAGAAACTTCATAAATAGAAAAATTGTTGAGTGTTTAATCAGATTACGCAGATTGTCGGGTTTTAAATCAATTCAATGACGAACATATGACTGAAGAAAGAGTTAAAGCTTTAATAGGTTATACATGGGGTAATATACCTGAATTAAGAAAACTCATGACATCAACGTGCAATTCAGAAAACCGAAATGTCTTACAAGCACCACTCACATTCTTACTCAAATTAAGGACTGGTAATTCAGATCGATGTATTGGGGCTATACATGATATACCTGAAAAACAGGTTCAAAAAAATATTGATGCTACATTAAAGTATTTTGAGAAAGATATTTTATCAAAATACTTTGGATATCATTTTAGAGTATTTTATGTCAATCAAACATCACTAGTAGCGAAGATACTACACAATTTAAAAAATTGGTTACCTATGTTATGCGATGGTACTTATTTGCGCCACCAAAAAAGTGCTAACAACGTATAGCAAAGAAAATCATACTCTGTACAGAAAAAAAGTCCACTAGTTAAGCCTTTCACGATCACTATTACTAATTGATACATAATTTATATTGCTGGGCCGTTTAACGCTGATAAGAATGATGTAACAATATTAAAGGAATTGTTCGACTCACCTTGAGGTCTTAATAGTATACTGAAAGAAGGAGATGTTTTTTTCCTGGACAGAGGTTTTCGAGATATTGTATCTTTATTGGAAGAAAAAAAATTTTAAGTGTTTATGCCAGCTTCAAAAGGCAAAGGAAACCATTTGTCGGTCGAATAATCAAATGCATCTCGATTTGTGACAAAAATAAGATAGGTAGTTAAAGCAAACCATGGGATCATCGGTCAGAAATGCAAACTTCTACACAATCAATTGCATTATTCTCTCCTACACAATGTTCATTTGTATTGTCAGATTGCTTGCTTTCTGGAGAATAGCTTTGGAAAACGTTTGAATTTGGATATGGATTTAATGGAATCAATTATTGTAAGATTACGTCTCAGAAAATAATTGAAGAACACTTTTGCTACTTTCGTAGCAGAAAAAAATTGGAACCGAAAAGCTGTACCGTTTCATATGATATCTTCTGATTATCTACATGACTTCCTAGAAATTGACTACTAACCCATTAAAGCCCACGCTAAGACTGGTTGAGATAGCGACAAACAAAAACTGTGCTATCTTTTGCATAAGTGAAAAATAAAATATACGTATTTTTTTTTATGTTATTTTCAATTGTTTATAACAAATTATTTAAACAAATTACAAAAAAATTCATAATTATCAAAATCTAAATGCGGGAATCGATTCTGGAGGTGAAATCAAGACGAAAACCTATATAACACTTTTTTGTCAGAATTCAATTTGTTAGTGTAACGTAGGAATAAACAATTGCATGTTGGGGAGAAAAAGTGACCATGTCAAGTCCCAAGCAAAATCTATCTGGAATAGCAAAAAATAAACTGTGCTATCCTTTGCATAAGTGAAAAATAAAATATATATATTTTTTCTTATGTCATTTGCAATTGTTTATAACAAACTATTTAAACAAATTATAAAAAAATTTATAATTTTCAAAATCTGAATGCGGAAATCGATTCTGGGGGTAAAGTTTAGACGAAAACCTATATAACACTTTTCTGTCAGAGGCCAATTAGTTATTGTAATGAAGGAAGAAACATTCGGCCTCCTGAGAGTGTTTCAAAAAATCGTATAAAATGAAGCTAATTATTGTATTTATCCATCAATATTGGCATGAATTATTGTAAATATAATCGGTGGGATTGAATTATTGTTCATTGCCATGTCCTTCTTTATGACTTTTGCAAACAGGCATAGAACATTTCTCACAATACCATTCCGTTCTTGTCCGACATGTTGAAATTCCACATTTCCTAAGACTCCCATGTTTCATCACGTGTTCTTGGGATGAAGTTTCACTCTGTTTCTGTCGTTTGGGGGGACGTTTGGAAGATAACTTGTCAATATAATATTCACAAACTTCTTGAACAATATCTTTGGAACCTTTTCTTTCGTCTGGATGTAACTTATTGTAAATCACTGTAGCGTTTGCTAAGGATGCTTGGATGAGCCGTAATACAAGGCACCATGTCCATTTCTTACTTCGAATTGTAGGCATCAAAGCATTACAGTGTTGATCATGTAGATCGACGCCACCCATGTGTTCATTATACATAGAGAAACAATGAGGAAAAAGAATAGATTTTTTCGATGATTCCTGCCATCTCTGCATTTCAACTTTTGGTTCATTTCCATATTTCGAAGAGAGAATCGATACTGGCTTTGAGTCCATAACTGTAATATAATTCAATTTTGAATTCACTTCATGCATTGAAATAGTGTATCCTCTTTTAGCTTTTTTTGGCATTTCGACTTTCACTTTCACACGATTATGCCGAACAGTTCCTGTCGCCGATAAACCATTTTTTTTCAAATGAATCATAAGACCTGGGTTTGTGAAAAAGTTGTCAAAATAAATATGATACTTTTTCAGTTCTTCTCTCTGTGTTTTTTCTAATAAATTCGAAAGTAACTTTATCACCACTCTAGACCCTAAACCAACGGCAACTAAAGGATTTCGTTCATCGATTCCTGATTTACCAGTGTAAATATCAAGATCATATATATACCCATCAGAAGAACAGACTGCCCATTCTTTTATTCCAAATCTAATGGGTTTATTCCTTATACATTGCTTGATACCAAATCTACCAAAGTATTTTACCATTATCTCATCTATTGATAAATTATAGTCAAAGAAACCAAATTGCATACAATTCTCACGAAACATATCATACAGAGTTCTAACCTTCCAGACTTTATCATTTTGATCAGTTTCTTGAAGTTTATAGAATCGTATGTTCTTTTTTATGGCAACGAAATTATTTCTAGACATAAGTTCCGCAATTACTGGACACTGAAGTATTCGCTTTTTTGACCAGTAATCACGAATACTTTTTCTAGAATTGAAGATAGTAATCATTATGATTGTAATAAATTTTTCTAGATCATCCATACATAAATCAAAATGATTTTCAGAAGTGGCTTCAATGATATGGTTTTTCATTGATTTCGAAAAGAAAACCTCAAACAACTCAAAAGCATTTTTGGATTGCAATGATGAAATAGGTGAAATATTGAAGTTGCTCTCGACATGCGGAGAAATATCATTCAAAGCATCATTTTTCCAACTGTACTTATGATTCGGTTCCAACAATTTCTGAGTACTTGTGTATGTACTTTTAACATGTTCGTAAGAACCTGATGGTAATTCATTTGATAATGTATCTTCATTTGGATCACCGTCCGAATCTCCATCTGAACTTTCATATTCATTAGGAATGAATGCTATATCAATATGTTGACCTTCATCACTATCAGAATCTTCAACTAAATTTGGTAGATCGCTAATTCTCCGTCTCGGCATTATCAGTAACGTTACCAATTTAGAACAAAATAAAAACTAAAAGTTTTCCGAAATTATTATTTCAAAGAATAGATCCAATGTATAAATGTTTTCAACCGTTAGCCCGCCACTCAAACGTGATCTCTAACACGGAAGGATTTACGAAATGAAATAAACTTATCCAATTACAGTATAAGATCTCAAAATTTATCAGTAAAAAATACTGATATGATTCCAGATACCATGTGTGAGAATGAAAACACTTATTTGTCAATAGTTTATTTCTACATAAAGATATCAAATTGAACTCTGACAAAAAAGTGTTATATAGGTTTTCATCTCAATTTTATCCCCAGAATCGATTCCCGCATTTAGATTTTGATAATTATGAATTTTTTTGTAATTTGTTTAAATAATTTGTTATAAACAATTGAAAATAACATAAAAAAAAATACGTATATTTTATTTTTCACTTATGCAAAAGATAGCACAGTTTGTTTGTCGCTATCTCAACCAGTCTTAGCGTGGGCTTTAATGGGTTAATGATCTTAAAATATTTTTCACGGGTGCCTATCAACTTGCGCAAGTCATATCATATCTAGCTAAGATGACAACTGAAAATAACACACTAGATCTTCGGTATGTTAAAGAAGATCCGGATATTATCAAATATGAAGCAAAATCCCGTCACCTGAACAGCAAGATGTACTCGTATAAGTGTTATGTATAATTCATTATCAACCACAAACGACTGGTATCAGTGGAATCAAACAATACTGTGCCAACGGTAATAGAACAGTTGGTTCTTGTTCACACGTTACTGCAATCATTTATTACATAATTTAATACTTTTATAAATCTTAATTTAAAATTTCGCAAACCAAGAAAGAAATACGATTCAGAGTGATTTATTTCTTTGTTTTTAAAAATTATTAGGATGAACTCGTAAAACAGAAATAATTTTTTATTTGAAAAATATAGAGATACATTATAAACTCTGTATACTCTGTATCTCGATTGAAATGGATTTAGTCGGCTATTATTATTTAATTGTACAAAATGTATCCTCAAACAAGATTTTAGTTCACGTTAATTAAATAAATTGTTTCTTAAGACCTCACGTAGATATTTTGATATATTAAATTTCATATTATTCAAATTCGGAATAATAAACATTTTATTACAAGTATATATGGCACCAAAAATATGCCACGTAACAGTTTTTCTGAAAATTTCATTAAAGTAAATTACCTGTAACTAAAGCATCTTCCCATTCCACATTTTGTAATTTACCATTTCGTTTTAACATTGGTGTAATTATTCTCTGTCTTTTTAGTCCATCATATGAAAACCGAGCCTTATCTGACAACCATTCTTCATTAATATCCTGTTCATATAAGATAAGTATTACTGTTAATCGTTATAAAATACTATATAAAAAATTACCTCGTTTACTCGTGGAAGAATTCTTAATACTTCCCCTGATCTATGCGATACTACTATATTACTACCAACTGCATCGTGAACATCAATGCTATCAGTTCGGTAATTTTCCCAAGGTCTAGCTACAAAAGCATACGGTTTACTGGTCAAAGCTCCCACAGGGCATAGATCAATAATATTACCAGATACTTCAGACATAAATAATTTTTCAATATAAGTTCCAACCTAAAAAATTTTTCAAAATTATTATATATAAAAATTTCTAATTTCAAATAAATTTATTTGATTCTAACCTTCATTGCAATAAAAAATCTTAGTAGTTACAGAAAATAAAACTTCAAGATAAAACAAAACATTAAAAATAAAATTGTAAAATAACTTTAAAAAAAATACTCTTACTGCCTTATCTGCTAAATACGGGTAAATATAAAATACAATTTTTATTCATGTTAAAAAATGAGTTAATTAAAGATATTTCCAAATATTTTTATAATATTACTATTTTATTTGTAATAAGTAAGTTATGTAATCGGTAACATGGGGAAAAGATATAAGATTTTAGAACGAATGAATGGAAATTGAAGCTTTTACCGAGTATTTTAAAATGAACAATTTCAAAAGAATTTTTTTATTAGTATCATCATAATATGATAAATAAGTATCATAGCAGGAGCCAGCGAGTCAGTAGGCATATCAGTGCCATGAATTTGCTGGTACTAATACACAGTAGGATGGATGATGCTGATCTACGTGATATTTTATTTTTTCTTAATTTCCCCATTCCCTATATAATTGACTGACATATGTATATATACACGCATACTAACGTGCACACATATATATATCTAAGTCAGACGAATATATTACCATTTTTATTTCACAAAAAATTTTAGTTAACTGGTAACTTGGACTATTGATTTGATTCTAACGAAGTCTACTTAATCGCACATAATAACATGGTACAAATCATTAAATTTCAATTTATTTTTCAATATGGTCCCCTTTGAACTCTATACATTTATTATAGCGGTGGTCAAGTTTTTTTATACCTTATAAAAAGTAACTTTTATCAAACTTCTCAAAATGCTCATTTATTGTAACAATTATCTCTTCGTTGGCTGAAAATTTTGTATCTACAAGCCAAATTTTCATATCAAAAAACAAAAAATAATCGAAAGAAGCCAGATTTGGAGAAGAAGGTAGATGAGGAAGTATTTCGTAAATCAATAATTTGGTCGCTGCAATGTAACTGTGTGAGTTAGTGCATTGCCATGATGGAAACGAACTTTTTTTTTGCCAGATGGGGCGCTTTTTCTTCAGTATAGCATCAAGTCGATCTAATAATGAGGCATAAAATACTTCTATAACAATTCTTCCACTCTATAGATAATCAATTAATATTATACCACTTGAATCCTAAAAAATTGTAGCCATAACTTTTTCAGCTGATCGTATCGTCTTCGCTTATTTCGGCGCAGATTTACCTGGCGCAGTTCGACTGATTTTTAGTTTCTGGCATATAATAATGAATCAATGTTCTATCAACAATAACGTAGCGTCGCAAAAACTCCTTTGGAGTACGTTGAAACATGCCCAAACATTGTTCAGAACCAACCACACGAGCTCGTTTGTTACCAGCTGTGAGCAAGCACATATTATAATTTATAGCGCAAACTTTATAATTTTTGACAGCTATGAAGAAGTAGGTACGAAATCTATGGAACGTCTTCATCGTAAAAAGATAGAGGACGAAAATTGAAAATTTCTAAGAAAACAAAGATTGCGCTTTCATCAAGATTGCTACCACTTTTTAGTATATGTTGGACACAAAAGTTTTTCTTTGAGGAATGAATCGAATGTTAGTAAAATGTTGCTGAATATCAGGAAATGTCTGAAGGTGGGTTAAAAATACATTTACGCTTCACTTTGTGAATGTGGAAAAGTTTTTGCATGCAACTTTTATATATGACGCTTCTCACAATATCGATACTTCATGGCACCGACAGCTCAAAGCATGCTCACTCAATATATTCATACGAGTAGTTTTGCGTCAGTGTTAACTGTAACTATATTATAATTTAGTTTGAAATATTATTTTTACTTCTATAATAAAAGTATTTATTTCGTTGTAAAATTTGTAATAGCGTCGGCGTGCAATACCGATATATTCACTACTATTACCAATTATTTATAAAGGGGGAAGGCAAGGGAGGCGGTGTATCGCTCCAAGCAAAGCAGGAAGGAGAACAGCGGGCGAAATAACTTCACACACACAATTCGTTAACACACGTTTATTACAAACGCACTACCACGAGTGCCGACGAGAACACAAATCACTTATTATTATTAACACGCGAACTTATTCTAAACGAGATGACCGGCACGTTAGCGCCATGTCACCTCGTTAACCGGCTCAAACAATTACTTAAATTTACACACTGCCGAAAACTACGCCGGCTCGGAAAAGCCTGGCGTAGCAACGCGAACCGTGAGAATCGCCGAGGAAAGACAGAGATATAGAGAGAGAGGAATCGGTGACCTGACCAAATTGGTGGACGTCGCTGTTGCTGGCAGCCTTGAAGGTGTCCCACCGGCGGCTAGTCTGGAAAACTCCTCGCTGCTGCGTGGCCGGCGACCTGGCAGAAAAGGCTGTCGGGTTCTGCCTCGGTGACGGCTTCTTACAGGGCAGCTGCTGCGTCGCTGGCAGAGGAAGTCCCGTCCGGCCGATCTGCTGAGGAATGCTGACTTCTTCCGGACAAAGGGCAGGCAGCGATGGTCACCAGCTAACTCTCCACTGATTGCTGTCGCGCGCGTCGCGTCACTCTCTGTCGCGAGTGCGTGAGAGCCGGCTTCTCACGCTTTCTCCCACCACTCGCCTAATCGGCGGCACGCGGCAATGCCCGTCGCGACAAGTGCCGCGCGCCAAGCCCAATACTCAAACTATTGCTTTCTCTCTCTCTCTCTCTCTCTCTCTCTCGCACTCTCAATACTCGAACGCGTCGTCGCGTCCACGGCTTCTCCTTCCACCGCTCTCGTGCGTAGCTGAAAAATAAAGGGCAGGCATCAGGCACGTGATAACAACGTGCGCTTGATGCCGGCCGTGCGCCCTTGCCTAGGAAGGAGAGGGAGATAAGCGAACGGTGCAGGCCATGACGGGCCTACACCGTCACAAATTTGTAAACGAATGTAAACGATACATGTATAAAAGTTGTAACGGAGAATTCCGGCCGTACCCGTCTGGGTTGCTCGCGACCGTCCGCACAAATTATTTATTCGGGGATTCGGGAAGCAAAAAACGTTCCCACAACTGAATAACGCGTCGAGCATAAACACGTTAAACGCACAGATTCGAAGTCGGGTTGAGGAGTGATACAGGGGCGAATAAACACAACAGCGGATTAATACACTAGTCGTTTAATTGTCAACAATCAATTACAATACGGCGACCTCGGACTTATACACTACGAGCGGCACAATAACAACGCGAACGCGAAGGTGAATCGGTGGCTGGTCAGCCTGCCGATTCCCTTGTAAAAACTAAATATTATAACAATATATGCCCGACAAACACTTTCCGCCGATAGTCTACCAACGGGTAGCCAGCAGATCTGCCGTGCTACCAGCCATAAGCTGGCGCCCAAACATGCAAGAGAGAGAGAGAGAGAGACAAGAGAAAAACATGGCACCGACCTCGACCTTCAGCCTCTCCGACGGTTAGAGCGCTCTGCACCGTGACGTCACTGGTGTGCTCCTCGCTGGCCGTCTCGCTGGTATTTTCTTTTGTCGTCGTTACCTTCCTCCTTCCCGTCCTCTCGTTCGCTCCACAATACTGCTGTTGTCTTCGCCGCCTCCTCTGTTGTTCGGTACCGCAGCACGTCCAAACTGCTCGCGCGCGCACCCGCGCACCTCGCCGGTTACCCACACGCACCGGTGCTGGGTATACTTCGGGACACGACTGGGCGCGACCCAGCCTTACGCTCCACTACTCGTCCGCACACCGGGCGTGTCTCCGAAACGAATAGACGTCGACGAAGTCGCGGGCCAACTTCGGAAAAACCGTAACCTTCGGTTTTATCCGCGCGCGCGACTTTCTCTGCTTACCGCTTAGCAGAGACTCTCCGAATTTTCCGCGGCGATCCGAAATTCGAGCGCTCTCTCTCTCTTCTTCTGCGCCATCTGCATCGCTCCAGTCGTCAGCTTAACCCGTGTTCAGCACCTCGCAAACAAAAGGTCCAAGCATGAGTGTGTGTACCAAACGCACACACTCTCAGCCTGGCGCGGCGCACGGACATTTGCGAGAGCCAAACGGACGAGATCGGCCTAGCCGAGATTCTCCGTCACAAAGTTTATTATCTATTACGTTACTTTTTATTCTAATGGTAGGTTCAATAAATATTTTATCGCATTTGTTGATGGCGGCGAGAGAGAAAGAAAGATAGAGAATAAAAATAAAGACAAACTCAAACTCATAACGGTCGCACCATTCGCTTGAACGAATAAAAAAAAACCTCGCGCTAATGTGTACTTTGACCTACCTGATATTCGGCATCATTGCTGCAGACAATGATGAGAGAGTAGTTGGTGTTTTTTTTATATCTCGATCGTCTCCAGCATGTGCACGAGGGATTTATGATATAAAACCTGAGAAGCCTTTAGTGCAGATGTTGTAAGAGACCCGAGAAGCCTTTAGCACAGATGTTGTAAGAGACCCGAGAAGCCTTTCGCACAGATGTTATAAGAGACACTAGTGAAAGTATTTCACTACGGGATTTCCTGCACGTGTTGTGGAGCCAACCGCCTAATTACGATGGGGTCCAGCTGTGAGACAGTCCAAGGAAACGGCTATACACTCAACGGGGTCAGTTTCAGATGACACTGACCTCGTTGGTCGCTTGCTAATGAGTGGGCGGACTCTCTGCCCTTTCCTCAGGTTTTTTCTATTCGGTACGTTGTTCTGGCGCGGAGGCTCGTCTCTCAGTAGTTAGTTGTTACCGAGTTGTTACGGGAATAACTACGGCATCTACGTCTCATAATTAGTGTAATATACGTTTTATTCTAAGTTAGTGTTTACTCTGACGCGTTTTTATTTAAGTGTCTGTTAAAGTTTATATTTGTGTGCGCATGCGAGGTTTGAGTGATCATTGAATTATTTGAGGGCTGTACCCTCTTCTATTCCACGGGGCTGTACCCCGCTGGATTAAGTTTCAGTTTCACTGTGTCGTGTG